GAGTTGGGATGATCCCAATTGACAAAAAGACGGGTGGCTCAGCCAGGCGAGGCGGAATGGCCCAGATGGCAGAATCGAGATTTAGCCACTGGGCAGAAATAATTGTTTTCTTTTTCTGAGAGTTTTCTTTTTTATGGATCAGTACAATATTTATGTATACATATATATATATATGATATTGATTGCGCACTGCCGAGAAGCCGAGAAGTCTCTGAGATGAGCTCAGATGTGTTATCAGAGCTGCACGGCCAAAAAACTCAACATAGACCTAGACATTCACAGGAAAGCCCTAGCCATGTCACTGCCATGTCTCTTTGATACCGAAATGGCCGGCCCATTGTCAGCAACCTCTCCTTGACGTGAGACGCTGTGCCAGAATACCATGGGTTGCCATGGCATGTTACAAGCCCTCATGAGGCTCTCATGGGCAGATGATTCGCAGCTAGGGGTCGAATCACCCTCAATCACTCCAACCTGCGATCCAAGAGTTTTACCAAGGGCCCCAGCATTGGCGTTTTCGACTTGGATCCGGTGACAGGAACCCCTCCTAATCCCAACCGGAAGAACAACACCAACCTCAAAATGGAATCCAATGAACAACTCCAAAAAAAGTGAGTTATTTCACGTACTGGGCTGTGTGAGATTGATCCAACATCCACTCAACGAGAGCAAAAACCGTAGCTAAGCCAAACGCTACAAGTTTTGAACTGGAAGCCAAAGCAGCTTTCCAGTCCAATGGCATGGCATCGATCAATGCAAAATGGCCAGGTACCGTTCCAACAGTCTTTCAGGGGAAACAAGCAGCTCTAACAGCTAACGCCAACAAATACGCCTGACACCTACAACATATCAAACAAAAAAATATAATTTCAAAAATAAATATCACATAGAACATCATGACAATATGGGATGGTTATGTGTGGTCACATACAGCACATATATATAATTATATATATATACACATATTATACAATTCTGAGATATCATACGCACATAGAATCCAAACATCAAGACTGCAGCATGACCTCAATCGCAGTGGCGAAGTTCTGAGGCACCAATCCCGGGCATTGAGAATGAAAGTCTTTCGGAGGAAAGGTTTGGCATGGCCGGGTCATTTTAAGGCGGTTGTCGTTGATCAATGGGGGGAACTCAACAATTAATCAACAATTAATCAGACCATAGTTTACCACTAGTTTGGAGATGGTTTATGATGGTTTATTCAACCATCTTCAACCAATTTCTGGTAAAATAGTGAATAGTTATGGATAGTTTACTCTTGTTTGCATGTCGTTGCCATTTCTTGTTGTTACCTTGTCATTACACGTCATGGCTCCCATGCAATCGAACCAGGACTACCCATTTACCTTCTCCATCTGAACAGTGTTCACGATTTGCGGGGGTTATACTTGTTATACTACCCAATAGATTGATACAGTAGTATATTACTTGTAATCTCCATATCAATCTATTGGATAGTAGAATAACTATAATCATACCTCAATAACTACTTGTATACCGGGAGATGATCATAATCCGTTCCGGGAATCCCTATACAATGAAATTTTCCGGGTTTCTGAACACTGCTCATGTATTTCTGTCATGAAAGGATCCTCAAGTTGATTGTGCAAGATGGGCTATTCAAGCATAGTGTGAAAAAAAGAGTGCTGTGTGGAAATGTGTGGAATTCCCTCACTGATTTGGATGTCTTTTTGTGACCTCAAACAACCAAGTCGCATACAAGTCGCAAACACAACCTCAAATCAACGGATGAATCTGGGAGAGTCAATGCCTCAGATTTCTCCACATAGCACGAGAAAATGTTGGATATGTTGGTAAAGCAACAATAAAACACCGATATGTTTATGGTTGATACATGTTGATACCAGCAATTTCCAAATGGTGACTTGGGGATGGTGGATCCTATTGCAACCTCTCAATTCTTCGAGGATTCCAGCAGCGAGGGCAGCTCCACTTCTTCCGATCCGCACAGTTCACGCTCCAACGCAGTCACCGGGACTTAAATGCTGACCTTGAATTGGCAAGACTTACTGTACCCTCTGGTAAACAAACATAGCTATTGAAAATTGCCATTTAGTTCGTTGATGTACCCAGCTATAAAATGGTGATTTTCCATAGTGATGTAAACGTTTACCAGAGGGTATGAAGATTTGATATCTTTGAGATCAAATTGATCAAAGAAACATGGTGAGTGATTGGATGTTGGTCCCTGCCAATTTGGGCCACTCGCCAGCTGATGGCTCAGGAGCCAAATGGAAAAGGGGGTCGATGACTATCCAGACATAAACTATTTCACTAAGTCAGGGAAGGGTGTTCCTGCATTTTTCGGGAACAGCTGATTTGCACCTTTCGAAATCACCCGGTTGCGGGTTGTTGAGCAGAGGCCGCAGTAGCTAGTACAGTAACGGTTACTATCCTCAAAACTTGGATGGTTTGATTCCACATAACCATACCAAGTAGGTTTTCCATTGGTACTACCATGTACATGTCTTCACCAGGTAACCAGTATAGTATAATATAGTATACTCATGTTCTAAGTATATTATAACCGTCTATTAATAGTCATTTTATAGATTATACAGGTACAACTATTTTTATCATTCTGCATTCAATGATCCGCCTTTCCAACCGATTTCACCAGTTGTGGAGTCTCCCACCGGAGCCCAAGTTGCCAAGGCAAAGAAACGTGTGCGGAAGTGGCGTCTGAAGTTTGCCGTAAAGAAACGACTAAGGAGCTGGTGTCCAGGGGAATTTTCTCTCAAAAACATGGGGTAAGTTACCCTCTGGTAAACGTTTACATAACTATGGAACATCACCATTTTATAGCTGGGTCCACGAACTAAATGGTCATTTTCAATAGCTATGTTAGTTTACCAGCGGGTAAGCTAGGTGACGGAAATTCGAGGCAAATCAATTTCTAAATAATCCTTTTTCCACCACCTTTTCCAGAAACTTTTGAAGGAAAATCCCCAACTATAACTGGATCCAACACTAAGGCTTTTCATCTATGAACATGGTGTCAAGTGAGGGCACGCCAAGGCGATCTCCAGCAGCCCCGCAGCCTTGCTTCAAGCCTTGCTGTGCCTGGAAAAGATGTAGGGATTACTCCAAAAGCCCACTGAAAAAGATGGCATGAAAGAATCTCACTACCAGACGTTGGTTTGAAACATGGTATGATCCCAACTGACGGTGTTTTTCATGGGGTGAACCACCAACCAGATTACCTTTTGCACCGAACTAGAAAGAATATACCTCGCGCAATGCGGGGCGCCGTCAACCAATCTTGTCGCTCTTACCTGGATTGCATCAAAGAGCTGCTCTTTGCGGTCAACATTTATTCCAAAGTGACCTTCATGATATGGACTGAGATAGCTTAATTGTGCAAATGCTCAATGATGCTCATGCAGTAAGTCTGCTGCTTGACATTGCTAAATACAGTAACTGTTGTGTTTGGAGACCTTGCCACTTGAGCCATGGTATATGAAGCCTCCGAACATCAGGAGGACGAGGAAGGAGATCCCCAAACCAAAACAAGTTTTGCAAGACAGATGCATTTTAACAATAGGTTTATCGGTATAATAATAGTACAGTTATATATATATGATAATATATATATGGTCCCGTCCTCCGTCTCTCCACCCCCCCCCCCCATGGGTTGGGTCCCCAGGTAGTAGCCCCAATTCCCTTCTATTTGCAAGCTATTGGCAGCATTTCTGAGGTCCAGCTTCGTATTTGCTAGGTCTTTGCAGCATTTCTGACTACCAGCCTCGCATTTACTAGGTACATGCTACCTTTTAGGCGACCTACGTAGCACACATACGCCTTCAAAGTACCTACGTGCTACCTATAGTCATATATACATGTGCTATGCATCTACTGTATCTACTTCCTACTTACTACCTGTGTACTCTCACAACACTACCTGTGTTTAACATATACCGTACCTACCATACATGTCAATGATGCCATGCATACCATACCTATCATATCTATCATACATACCATACATACCATACATATGAAATGTAATTACCACACCTACCATACATACAATAGCATACATCCAATAGCAAGCATACATGCCATACATACCATACCTACCTTAGATAGGACATATTCCATACCCATCATAGTAACCATACATACCATACAGACCATACATACTGTCATATCAAACATCCCATATCCAACAGACTTACATACCATACCTACCATCCATACAATACCAACCACTCATGCCATACATACCATACCTACCATACATACCAAACATACCATACTTTCCAAACATGCCGTACCAGACCGACCATACACACCATACATACCCACCATACCATACCACACCCCCACCACACCACAGGGGGGGGAGGGGGACAGTGCCACACCCCCACCACACCACAGGGGGGGGAGGGAGAAGATCTCATATGGGACCAGTATATGGGACCCATCCACCACACCACAGGGGGGGGAGGGGGACAGTGCCACACCCCCACCACACCACAGGGGGGGGAGGGGGAAGATCTCATATGGGACCAGTATATGGGACCCATCCACCACACCACAGGGGGGGGAGGGGGACAGTGCCACACCCCCACCACACCACAGGGGGGGAGGGGGAAGATCTCATATGGGACCAGTATATGGGACCCATCCCATATGGGGGGGGGGGGGGGGGGGGGATGTGGCAGGGCTGGTGCATATATAATATTATATATATATGGAGGTTTCCTGAAATAGGGGTACCCCCAAATCATCCATTTATAGATGGATTTCCCAAAAAAAAACCAACCAATTTTGGGGTAACACTGTAACACCATTTATGGAAACCACCATATATATATATTATATATTATATATATATTATATATTATATATATTATATTATATAGATAAATAACAATCACTTGAATGATGGTCATTTCGTTGGGGCAAAAAAAAAACCTGCGGAAGTCTGACTGCCATTGATCCAAGATATCCAAGCCATGGAGACTGATGACCGAAGCCGAAGTGCCAAGCGGTGGCTTGGTAGATTAATTTCTATTCCTTAGCAAAGCCAAAAAGATAGGACCGTGAATTATCCATGGAATTATCCATGGAATTCTCACTACTTTAAGTAGGATTATACTTTTTTTTTTACCAGCTTCTACCTTTCTGAATGGGTTGCTTGCTTTTTGGGTATTCCAGACATGTTCTCTCGATCTACATGCTGAAATAGTCAAATTTGCTGCTGTACAATAATACTGTATGACCTGACCTCTTTATAAACATCATTGAACATCTTTGTTTCTTTGGGATGATGGCAACATCATTTTTCAAACCCTGGAAGAGTTTTTTACGAGATCAGATCTAAGGCGGCGTGTCGTGGAACTGAACTCTTTGAGCATCAAGGGATTGGATGGACAAAACTTTCAGCTGCAGATTGATGGTGATGATGCAACGGTTGAAGATGTGTACACGTACATTTCAGAGAAGATCGGCCTGAAACCAGGAAGGAAGTTGCTGCTGACTTCAGGTTGCACTATCCTCGAGGCCTCCAAACCACTGCTTCCGCAAGTGCAGAATGAGGAAATCAGTTTCGTCATCCAACGAATGCATTTCTGTGAGGTTGTCAAAAGTTTCCAGAGAACCACAGAAGCCGAGACAACCAACAGCCTGACTGCTGTAGATATGAACGCAGTAAAAACAATTGTTTCACTGGCCAATGTGCGCGACTTCAACTTTGAGTGGAAAGGCATGTCATTGCTGAGTAGCCTCAAGACTTTGACCTTTGAAGGTGACTTTGAGCGGAGTTTGGCAGGTGTGAGATTGCCAAGCAGCCTTCAAACCCTGACCTTTGGAGAGGCCTTCAACCAGAGTTTGGCAGGTGTGACACTGCCGAGCAGCCTGCAGACATTGACCTTTAGATATTCGTTCGATCAGAGTTTGGCAGGTGTGACACTGCCGAGCAGCTTGCAGACGTTGACCTTTGGATATTCGTTCAATCAGAGTTTGGCAGGTGTGACACTGCCGAGCAGCGTGCAGACGTTGACCTTTGGAGATCTCTTTAATCAGAGTTTAGCAGGTGTGAAACTGCCGAGCAGCTTGCAGACGTTGTTCTTTGGATTTTCGTTCAATCAGAGTTTGGCAGGTGTGACATTGCCAAGCAGCCTGCAGAGTTTGACCCTTGGATACAGGTTTAACAAAAGTTTAGCACGTGTGACATTGCCAGGGACGTTGCAGACGTTGACCTTTGGATGTGATTTTAACGAGAGTCTTCCGCGTGTGACACTGCCGAGCAACCTGCAGAGCTTGACCTTTGGACGTTCGTTCAATCAGAGTTTGGCAGGTGTGACACTGCCGAGCAGCTTGCAGACGCTGACCTTTGGAGATCTCTTTAATCAGAGTTTAGAAGGTGTGACACTTCCAATCAGCCTGCGCAATTTGACCCTTGGCAGTTCTTTTAATCATAGTTTAGCACGTGTGATATTGCCCTTGAGCCTGCAAACTTTGACCATCGGCGATAATTTCAAGAGGGTTTTAAAAGGTGTGACGCTGCCAAGAAATCTGCAGACGTTGTTGTCCTTTGGAGAGTATGCCAACACGTCCTTGGCAGGAGTGTCAGTGCTAAGAAACCTGCAGACTTTGAACATTGGGTTTTCATTCAACAACAAGAGTTTAGCAGGTGTGATATTACCAACAAGCCTGCGTACGTTGACCCTTGGAGATTTGTTCAATCAAAGCTTGGCATGGGTGACATTGCCAAGCTGCCTCCAAACGCTGACCTTTGGAGATTCGTTCGATCAGAGTTTGGCAAATGTGACATTGCCAAACAGCCTTCAAACGCTGACCTTTGGAGGGCCATTCAACCAGAGTTTGGCAGGTGTGACACTGCCGAGCAGCTTGCAAACGTTGACCTTTGGAGAGGCCTTCAACCAGAGTTTGGCAGGTGTGACACTGCCGAGCAGCCTGCAGACATTGACCTTTGGACATCTCTTTAATCAGAGTTTGGAGGGTGTGACACTGCCGAGCAGCCTGCAGACATTGACCTTTGGAATTCTCTTCAATCAGAGTTTGTCAGGCGTGATATTTCCGAGCAGCTTGCAGACGCTGACCTTTGGAAATGTCTTTAATCAGAGTTTAGCTGGTGTGGCGCTGCCAAACAACCTGCAAACGTTGAACTTCGAAGATTCGTTCAACCAGAGTTTTGAAGGTGTAGCTTTGCCAAGCGGTCTGCAAAAGTTGACCTTTGGAGATCGGTCCAGGCAGCAATTGGAATCATTGGAAGGCGTTCTTTTCCCCAGCGATTTGCAGCAAATCTGTTGGCGTGGTTTGTCCATCGACATTTTAGGGTCAGCGTGAAGTAAGACATTTCTGACAGATCTGTCACTCTGCAGCTGCTTTGACATTGAAGACAAAGAGATGCCTTGGTTTGAATGGAAAATGAACACTGCTGGCACGCGCATGTCCACAACTATTCTTTGTATTTCTTTGTACCATCTTTTTGTTTTTGAGGTATTATTGATATCCCATAATACTTACTTGCTGCATCTTGCTGCAAACGTTTTGTTGACCGTTGAGCGTTAACCTTCATGAAGCGCAATATCACTGTTTATATTTGAATGTGTCGCTCCACCCTCCAATTTCGTTGATTTTATTCGTATTGCAAACCATTTGATCTGTGGGTTTTCCATCCGTAGCCCTGTAGCCATTACTCCGCCGGCTGTGGGCTACTCCCAGAGCTGGTGACCTCACAACACAATTGAACATCCCTGACATATATGGATTCAGTCACTCCGGGTTTGGTGGTAAGATGTTGTAGGCCTGGTTCACAGTTTCAAGCAGCTTCTTGAATTCTTGTCGCAAAGTACTGTAGGTCACTAGTTTAATGTTTTGAAGTAATTTATGGGTTTCATTTTTTGTGCGCCCCCTTTTTGCTACCATGAGATTTGAGTGGGTTTCAGATGCAAAGAACATCAAAGAACTGCTTTTGAATACATCAAACAGATTTAGCCATAGGAATCCATAGGACATCATAGCACTGGTTTGCATAGTTTGCTTCTCAGTTGGCAAGTGCCTGTCCTGTGCTTGACGGAAAGGAAAGGCTCTGAAATGATCTGAATTCAGCCTTCACAAATTGCCAAGGTCTGGGAAACTCAAAGCTGAGGACAAAATCAAAGCAATGCGTAAAGGGTTCGCCATTGGATTTTCTCATCGCCTTGTGCAGGTGAACACCCAAACATGGTCTAGTCATGTCCATAGTCAATTTCTCATAATTTGTCTATGCTTTTGAAGTATAGAAACTGCAGCCAATAGGTACCCACCCAGTAGCTGATTGTGCGGTTTTTGCCGTGGATTGAGAATTCCGGTTCCCTTGAGTTGATCATTGGCTGAGCACGACTCTTGTACGATGTATTCCTGGTGCTTTGGAAATGTTTCAGAAGCATGAGTATAACATAATGTAACTTAGTACAATGTACAACATAGTATAACATATATATATAATATGTATAATATATATAATATATATAATATATATAATATATAATATATATATAGAGATTATAGTATAACATGGTATAACCAAGTTCTGCACGGGCAAAAAAAAACAGTTTCCATCCAGGTTATGGACACCAGTTCTCCTTCTCAATTTTGGCCCCAGGAGAGAGCTGATGCATCCCAGGCTCCGATTCCCGGTATCCCCGTCAAAAATGGTGCTATTGATGACGTTGATGACGTTGACCCCCGAACAAATGGTGGTATTTCCATAGGAAATGATGGTTGATTCCATAGAAAATCCATAGATTCATGATGCAAATGATGCTTGATGATGACAAATTTGATGGTTGATCAATGGTGTTTGTTTGAAAACAGACTATCCGTACCCGTACCCCCCAAATTTGATGGTTGATGATCATGTCTATGTTAAAATTGCCAGGAACCGGGTTATCCTCCATTTCCAGACAAACCCATGGAAGTAAGTATGTGACTATTTTTCATTCGATCCTCCAAAACAAAGCAGTTTGTAAATCCATGGGTTCTACATTGCAATCATGAATCACTATTTGTGTTGGGGAACCCACAATTTTTAGTGGTTAAGTCAGCATTCTAACCCAAAAAAACTCAATAGCCCGGAGGTTTTTTTCTGAGCCTCGCCATGGCTACCCCGGGGTTGCTCCAGGCAGCACCAATTGCATGGCGCCCCGCGGAAGCGGCGAAACTTCCTGGTGGTGCCAAAACTGCTAAGCGCAGAGGATCCTTTGGGATGTTGACATCGGAAAAACCTATAGGGGTAAAATGGTTGACATACTGAAGTTGCCAAGCAGGGATGTCCTTTTTCACTCATTTCAGAATCATTTCTGTCAAAACTCTGTAAAACTGGGGATAGTTGATGATTGATTTTACCACATTTTCTGCGAATCACAGGGTGGCAATGACCTGTTCTCACCATGACAAGCATCGTGTTCCGCATACCATCAATGGACATCCCGTTGTGGCAACAGGAGATCCGTTTGCTGCACGAGTTGTGGCGACATCCCAGCGTAGAGGAGATCAAGGATAGGAAGAAGACGCTGCAGTACCGTTGCTTGGCTCCGTAGATAGATCGGGCGACTTACACGGGACGCCTTGCGGGACGCCTTGCGGATGACATAGGATGACATGGGCTACTGGGATAATCAATCGGGTTATAACATATTATAACATATTATAACATATTATAACATATTATAACATATTATAACATATTATAACATATTATAACATATTATAACGTATTATAACGTATTATAACATATTATAGCATATTATAACATATTATAACATATTATAACATATTATAACATATTATAACATATTCTAATTTCGCTGGGATAGAATGAAATGTTGCGATAATCCCAGGAATTTGGAACTTGCTTTGAGTGGTTTCACTCATGATTCATGATGCTTATCCGAGTAACGAGATGTTGCTGCAGACTGCAAAGAGTGTTTCAGTTTCATTCCCTCGGATGTGGTTGAGGAGTTTGTTCGGACAAATTGTCCATGAGCGAATGTGGGTAACACTGTGAACCGGTCGTACATACACTTTCCTAGACAAGTACATATTTGTCGACAATCCTTTTCCGTTCGAAGATGTTCCCTTGCCATGGGAAATTTCTGAGCATTCTAGCTTTGTTTGAAAATAGCCCCCCCCCAGAGTTTTTCATGATTTTCCCCATAGAGATTGCTATGAACTAAAGTATCCCAGTTTTGGACAAGCGCAAACAACGTGGAGTAATTACAACAATAGCATACAATAGCCTGCCCTAAACATCCCTAAACAAAAAAACACACACATGTGCTTGTGGGTGTTTTAGCACCCGCCATTGTTGATTTGGACAATGCCCCATTCTATCCGTATTGCTGAGGACACGTCGCGTATCGCATGGCTGGGAACTGAGAGGGCCGGATATCGCAGGTACCATAATATGTAGATTACTGTAGATTTGTCATATTTATGACCTGTCTATGTGTATCTAATCATATCTCATCCTGTTTAATCATATCTGATCATATCCAATCATGTATATTTAATTCTATCTATATCTATCTCTATCTGATCTACTCCAATCCCCAATCCAATCCAATTCAACTTACAATATATACTATATATATACAGTAATCTTATCTCAACTTATCTATCTATCTACCTATCTAATCTAATCTAGTCTAAGCTAATCTAATCTAATCTGTTTGTCTGTCTATCTATATATCTATCTATCTATTTATTTGTTTGCCTATTTATTTATCTATTTATTTATCTATCGATCCATCCATCCATCCATCCATCCATCTATATTCAGAACATCATCTAATGACGTGTTTTATACAAATATTTACATTTATTATTTTGATTGCAATATATGCATACAAATCTAATCTGTTTCTCAGTCCCCTGTCTGCCATGGTCCCCTTGCAGCCCCATTGGGGCTGTAGGAGTTGCCTCTGCGTGCGCACGGCCGGCACACAGAGTGTGGTGGGGCGGTGGCGCGGTCACAGGTTTGGATCCAAAAGGACATCCCTGATAGATGGGGAGTTTCATGTGTACATCATCTATAAATCATCTAGAAGTGGGATTACAACTAGATATCAAATTGTCTTTGCCCGGAAATTTGGGTTTTTTCGGGGGAACATTGTCTAGTCTAAACATGTCTAATCCATGGGATTGCGGTTGTATTTTCACAACAAAACAGCTAACCTCCAAGTCTTAGGGCAACGGTTTTCAAACCATTTGGCCAGACATGTCTTGAGAGACAAAGGACTTGATCCAAGTTGATATTCCTTCAGGGACCTCTGAAGAAAGGTCTGGTTGGTGGTTTCATTTGAGAAAAAAACTCTTTCAAAATGGAATGGTGCTAGAACTTGACATATTGACTGCAAAACCGCGGAAACTTTGGATGGCTAGAAACTTTTGTCATCTGTAATAAATGGTGATATAGCAATACTTACCCAGATCTAAGCAGCGAAAAACTAATTTGTCTTTCATCGAAAATTGGCTGACCAGCTCAAAACGATCCACGGAACGAGGTCGTGAGCTCTACATGAAACTCATTGACACCATGGCATGGGCTGATGCCTTCCTTTGGCAAAAGTGCCTCGGCTGGGAGAGACAAACTGCGTGGTCTTGGGAATTTCTGTGGGAAGGGGTTTGTTGGGAATTTCTGTGAGCATGTTTTTTTTTCCAACACAGTTAGTGTATTTACCCTCTGGTTATTTAACGTAGCAATAGAAAATCATCATTATTAATAGGTAAACCATTGGTAAACCATCTATAAATGGGCCATTTTCCATGGCTAAATAACCGGAGGGTAGATGTATTTAGCCATTTGCCCTGCGGCTTCGACTGAACATTGGCTAGTCGAATCTAGGACATTGACTTAGTCGTCGGAGAAGGACCAAGGTCCTTTGGATGTGCCGTGTAAAGCAACCAAAGCCTGAGCGAAGCCTGAGCAATCCAGATGTAGTTTTCCGTAAATGTGGACGCTCAAGGTTGACTGAAAGCAGTAAGCAAGTCTTACAAACAAAAAATATCAAAACATGTTAAGTAAATGTTGGTCATACAAGCTACTCACTCAGCCGACACATTGCAATGGCGTTCTCTTTGTGCAGAAGAGGGACTGAAACCGCGTAGACAATTGGGTATGGGTCAATAGCTATAGATACATTTTTAGTGGGTTATTCACATCCATTTTAACCCAGCTATGACTTGGGGTGAACTACAGGGGTACTATTGGTTTTGACCCATCCCCAATTGTAGAACCTCATGGGATTTTTCTCTACAAAAATTCGGACTTCGCACGAGATTTGAACTTTGAAATAAATCAAATGAATCAACTTCAAGCCACAAACGTAAAGCCAATTGAATCCCATGACATCGCCATTAAATCCCACTAAGTCCAATCAGTCCAATCACATAATCACATCACCACTAACTCCCATTAAATCCAATGAAATCACGTTTTTTTTTAATGATTTTATATCACCATCATGACCAATCGTGTTCATGCCCCCATAGTCTCCGAGTCTCCGCTGACCGAGGCTTCCACGGAACGAGTTTGCCTATCCTGAGGCCGTGCGAAAATATCAAACAAATGGTTCCTCAAGGCACTCAAGGGATGAGTAAGGAGATCCCTTAGAGATCCTTAGAGTATAGAATAAATTAATAATTATTATATTATATATATATATCACATGAACTTCACATGAACTTCACATAAACTTCACTTCATATCAAACTCATTTGAGATCCAAAGGCTCAAATCCCAGCCATCAAGACAGCATCAAAACGCAAAGATAGGAACATTCCAGTGAGTAAGCCGTTCTGAAACTCAGATGCTCAGGTGGAATACATTGTCTACGAAGCCAAGGGTGGAATCCCAGGCGCCTTGAAAGGGTTCTGGTTTGGGCTTACTTTGTACCAGCGGCTGGGAAGGATGCTGGTTTAAGCAAGAAAATATCGCAAAACATGGATTTATCGCATTCTAGCGGAAACAATGAGGTGAATGGAGGATTTATATAGCTGGCAAACACTGGGTTTCACTTGGGCTCTCTAATCGTTTCGAACCAGCAGAAATTGGGATTTAACGAACCATAAATGCATGTTTAAGCAGCAGAAGTGAGGATGAATATGTGTTTTTGCCTGTGCTTGGCAGGCAAGGGGCAGGGGAAGGAGGGCTGGGAGCTCATGAAGGTACCCTTGTAATAAATGGCGTTGATCGGTTGATCAGATCCATCTTTTGAGCATCAAATATGGGAATCCGAAGCAACTGGAAAAAGATTTCGACCAAGAGTGGAGCCTTGATAAAAGAAAATTATATAATCAATGGATTGGTTTAAGGGAATTTTTACAGGAAAACACCATATTTGATGGGAAAATCCATGGTTTCCTGTAGATTTTCCCTTAAACCAATCCATTGATATAACTAACTACGCAACGTTGTTCTTTTCGCTTCGGGCCCCAAAGTGACCATTTCTTGGGGCCTCCTGGTTTGCTTAACCACCAAGCATGTCTCCGTTGTTTTCTGATATTGGGTTTGCCCAGGAATGGGGTATACTGTACTATTCCTGCCATCAAATGACGAAGAAAATGATATCAATGGGAATTCCAGGATCCTAAATTGGAGGCACTGTACCATATAAGGCCATATTTTGTGGTGATATTCCCTTACATAGGCCTTATATAGGCCTTATATATGGTAGGTACCTCCAATTTAGGATCCTGGAATGGCCATTGATGATACTCCAATGGATTTTGGGGTACTGTGGTTTTGGATGTTTTTGGACCAATCCATTTGTCAGACATCCGGATCTTGGGGCTCTCCAAAATGTTGTTCCAGTTTCTGGGACAATATTATGCTTTTGCAATAGACTTGCAAGGTCCGCTGTCAGATTTGTCCTAAACATCTAGTCAATTCCAGTGGTGATTTTTTTTGGGGCCCTTTTTTGTGTGGTATTTGCAAGGTTTGATAACTTGATGTCAGAAAACAGGTTTGAACTGGATGCATATTTTGGGAGGCCTTTTGCCTTTCGCTACAACCAGAAGCCGAAAATTTCTGGCGTGTGTCTGATTTACAATTGTTACCCTTTTCTCTCAAGTCGGACGAACAGATTCTGCAGTGAGGCGACTAAGATTTCCGTCTGGCATAGCATCAAGTATAAGTTGCAAGTGCAAGAGCAAAGCGTCTAGCGTAGCATCAAGTACATGTGCAAGGGCAAAAGCACAAGCGTGTAGCATAGCATCAAGCACAAGTTGCAAGTGCACGAGGAAATCGTCTAGCGTAGCATGAAGCACAAGTTACAAGTGCAAGAGAAGAGCGTCTAGCGTAGCATGAAGCACAAGTTGCAAGTGCAAGAGAAAAGTGTCCAGCATAGCATCAAGTACATTGTGCAAGTGCAAGAAAAAAACCTATAGCGTAGCATCAAGTAAAAGTTGCAAGTGCAAGAGAAAAGTGTGTAACGTAGCATCAAGTACATGTGGAAGAGCAAAAGGATCTAGCGTATTCTAGCTTTGCATCAAGTAAAAGTTGCAACTGCAAGATCAAAAGCGGCTCGCGTAGCATGAGGCACAAGTTGCAAGTGCAAGAGAAGAGCGTCTAGCATAGCATCAAGTACATTGTGCAAGTGCAAGAAAAAACCTATAGCTTTGCATCAAGTAAAAGTTGCAAGTGCAAGAGAAAAACGTGTAACGTAGCATGAAGCACAAGTTGCACGTGCAAGAGAAGAGCGTCTAACATAACATCAAGTACATTGTGCAAGTGCAAGATAAAACAACTATAGCTTAGCATCAAGTAAAAGTTGCAAGTGCAAGAGAAAAGCGTGTAACGTAGCATGAAGCACGAGTTGCAAGTGCAAGAGAAGAGGGTCCAGCATAGCATCAAGTACATTGTGCAAGTGCAAGATAAAACAACTATAGCGTAGCATCAAGTAAAAGTTGCAAGTGCAAGAGAAAAGTGTGTAACGTAGCATCAAGTACATGTGGAAGAGCAAAAGGATCTAGCGTATTCTAGCTTAGCATCAAGTAAAAGTTGCAAGTGCAAGATCAAAAGCGGCTCGCGTAGCATGAGGCACAAGTTGCAAGTGCAAGAGAAGAGCGTCTAGCAAAGCATCAAGTACATTGTGCAAGTGCAAGAAAAAACCTATAGCTTTGCATCAAGTAAAAGTTGCAAGTGCAAGAGAAAAACGTGTAACGTAGCATCAAGTACAAGTTGCAAGTGCAAGAGAAGAGCGTCTAGCATAGCATCAAGTACATTGTGCAAGTGCAAGATAAAACAACTATAGCTTAGCATCAAGTAAAAGTTGCAAGTGCAAGAGAAAAGCGTGTAACGTAGCATGAAGCACAAGTTGCAAGTGCAAGAGAAGAGCGTCCAGTGTAACATCAAGTGCATGTGCAAATACAAGTGAACGTCATTGTCCAACCTCACCCCACCACATCCCCCACCCCAACCCCAAAAAACGCAAAAACGTACATACGGTTTCCCAGCCGCCAGCAAAGACAAGCAAGGCAGCATCGAGCCTCACGTGGACAACCACTCGGCGGTGACCATCGCCACTGGTCTGTGTGGAGGGAACATGAGTTGCACATGGTTGAACACGTCTTGGTATTGATGGTGTGACGTTTTCCAATAACCTGATATGATTTTTGCCTTGTCACCTTAAGATACTGATGATACTGAAATTGGTTGACTAGATACATAGTGAGACTGCAGATAGCAAACCAAGACTGAGTTCGCAGTAAGACTATGCCCATGCGCTCATCCACTTTAATCCCATCCCCCAAACATTGAACACCACCGTTTGATGGTCCCAAATATGTGTAATTCCCCCACTAAACCGTGGTTTCTGGGGGTGTGTTGAATATTGAAAGGAAGAAATTACTAGGTGTTTCATGATTTATCCCAATATGATCCCATTCTATTCATAGACTCATAGATTTTTTCCCACAGGATTCCCATTCAAAACACCATTTATTTTTCGGGAATTTCCCATCGGGCAGCCCTGTTTTGCTCAGGTGATCCTGCTCTCGGATCCCTCTGAGCGGGGCTCACTGAGCTGGGCGAGGGCTGTCTGATTGGTGCATGGCTTCGTCTGAAAATCGGCGACCCCCAATTTCAAGCGATCATTATTCTTCCTGCTCAAATGGCAATCTGGATCAAACCAACCCATCATATACATTAGATATATATATATATAATTATATATATATACATGGAGGTTTCCTAAAATGGGGCTCCCCCCAAATAATCATCCATTTCTAGATATTTCTAGATGGATTTTCTATGAAATCAACCATCCAGCTATTGGGGTACCCCCATTGTAGGAACCCACCATATATAACAAAGAAATTTATACCTGTATAGATATGTATAGATATGTAAATATATATATATAGTCGATGTCTATACACAATATTAATATATGTATATACAGTCAATGTATCCATATATTCATACGTATAGAAGTATTGTATAGATATTATTGTATATGAATTATGTATAATGTTCATGTATTATATCTATGTATCATATATATATATCTACATACTTTCACATGCAGTATTCGCATGGGTCAACAATCACCATAGACGATCGCTGGAGAGCCGACATGTCAGCAAATAAACAGTAGGGGATGTGATTCATCCACTGTTGTGGCAACTAGCTTGACATTTGTATGATAAGAACCATATAAATGTGGATGATGAAACACATTATTTGATAAATTTGGATGATCAAACTCTTATTGTTTATTGTTTATTTGTTTGATGAATTCGGATGATCAAACCCATATTATTTGATCAGTTCTTGAGATACAATCCGTAGTACCTGGACAAAAATCTCAAAAATTCATCTATTTCCCCTGTGACCGGGAACTCAAGGTTCACTGGAGGCGTGAATTGCTTTGCTTCGCCCGATTCGGAAGATGTGCGCCGTTTCGGCAGATGATGGTACGGGCAGGGAGCGTGCTTATACTCTGGGATATCCAACAGTTTGCTATGAGAAAACAGCATTTTTCACAGGCAAATCATCTGCAAATGGACCATTTTTATCCAGTTTCCATAGCTTATAGATGGGCAGAGGGTCAATGCTTCCAGAATTAGCTAAGCAGTTGACACTGAGGTATATCGTCCCAATCAATCCATCCCAGTGATGAGGAGTTTTTTCAACACACGTACCACGTACGTACTGAGCTAATTGGGCAGCGACCCCCAATGGATGGCCAGGGGTACCGACTCTCTTGGACGGACCCATGTGGGTGGAACGGGGTGGTGTTTCCCCAGAAGCATATAGAACTCAACCCCCCAAGTTGTGTGCCCAGATATCATCATTTGTGAAGCATAATTTATCATAATTTATCATAATTAGATCATAATTTAGCATAATTAGATCATAATTTATCATAATTGTGAAATATTGTGAATCATAATTTATCATATAACCAATTTTCCCTGATCTTGTGCCCCATTAAATAATGGACCATCGTCGCTTAAATGAGCCCCACTTGGTGCAGTTACCCGCGCGCCTGGTGTCGTTGAACTGCGGCGATGCTGTGCTTTTCCGGGGTGCCCGTCGTGGGGCTGTGGCGGGTTGCCAGGAGGGTCCATGGAGTCGAAAATACACCCAGCTCCTTGTGGTGATGTTCCCAACAATAATGTCCTTTTGGTAAAAATAGAGGGGCCGGTTTGGTATACCATCTATCATCATTTACCTGTTGTTAAAGGGGAAAACAAACCCCTCCATTAATCAGCTAACCAATGGGAAAAGGACATCTATGGTTCCCAATGGTATTCTTTTCATGGAACATTTGCAGGAAAACCATGGAAAACCCTAGATGTTTAGAATGTTTAGGGGCAAAATCCCTTTTGTTTCCTGTAGATGTTTCATTGAAACAATCCGTTGTGGGGCATGTCGGGATTTTGACCTTGATGGCGTTCTTCCCTGATCCGTTTAGATCTTTAACATCCACAGGTCTACCAACACTTCGGGGTATTGTTGTGAGGTTGTGGGGCTGCGAGATGCCTTTTGTAGATGATTTACCCATTAAACACTGGCTATTTTCCAGGGCCATATGATTTGTGTGCGTGTAGACTGTAGACATGTTTGTGTATTCATGTGTATTCATGTACCGTCCAAAGGACTTCCTCTTGCTGGGCTTGTTGGAATGGATGGGCAGGAAAAGGTGGTAGGTGGCTGTCATTCCTAAGCAGTTTCCGGCTGAGCCCATCTTGTTGGATTGTGTATGAACTGTTGGAATATGGTCACTATCACAGTTCTACATATAGTTATACAATGTTATACATAGTTGGATATATCTCTACGTTACTGTCTTGTCAACAGTTATATATAGTTATATTGTGTGTGAACAGTCGGATGCTTCTCCACCGTATAGGAAAACCATCCTGTTTCGACTTCCACGAATCGACCACTGCAGGCGAAAAACTTCGGCATTGGATCACTCCTGTGACACAGGGGCGCCGTGTGGTCCTGCAAATCGAGCTCTCGCGTGTGTGAGATGTGCAAAATTGTGCAAAATGATGCATGGAGTGGGTTCAACTAGCCATAAATATGGAGATGTGCTTGGTGGTTTGAAACATTTTTTATCTTTTCCATATATTGGGAATAATGATCCCAATTGACTTTCATATTTTTCAGAGGGGTTGGTCAACCACCAACCAGTCTATTTCACCATGATTTCATAATGATTTTACCATGATTTTGGCTCTGGGAGATGGGGGGAAACCTGGTGGCTAAACCGTTTAGAAAAGATGTTCAACACAATTGTGACCTATTTAAGTGGTCAGCATCCAGCTATACAACACTGTTAGCCTAGTCCCACCGAGTCACACGGTTTTGCCGGTTTTGCCCACAGTTTGCACCCCAATCCCATCCAAGACTGTGCAAATCTGAGCAGATGCCATGAGACCAATGTGGATATTTTGCTACATGGCGGTTCAAGCCCCATGAATGATGATTACTGGATCAGCAAGGATGTTTTACAAATCTGGTCTGGGATTTCTTGCAAATCATGAATCATCATTCAAATTATCATCCTGTATAAATCTCAATAACGATGATTTCTGTTCATAACTCAACAATAAGAAAAATGATAATTATAATGGTGATAATGTGGATAATAAAAAATCATGATAGTACTATATAGTACTACTAATCATACTAATCAGTAACTGCTTTTAGCACCATTTTCAAACATGGGACCCCTCTAGGTCGTCTTTCCGTGCTCCCCAGGTATCCGGGTGCTTCGTCTTCGACCGTGACCTCTGAAGCACTGATGGAACTTGCCGCCACTCTGCAGCTGGGGACCCATGGGGTACCCTCTGGTAATTTTAACGCTTTGCGATTGAACATGGCCATAGAAATAGTGGATTTGCCCTATGAAAAATGGTGATTTTCCATAGTTATGTTAGTTTAGATATACATAGATGTGGAAAACTGATGGGGAAACCAATGGGTAAAATGATCTACTTATATAAATGGGTGGGTTTTCCACATCTAACTGTTGGTTTACCAGAGGGTAAGAGATGTGCTGTTGATTTTCTAGACATGTGTTTTCATACCGTTTCCAGTGTGATGATTCAATAGATAGCTAGTTGTCCTCTTCAAGCCTGATGTCCTATGATATTTTTGGATGTGTTTTTCCGATATTTTCCTATGGGATGATTTGAACCCCAAACCACTTGCGGCGCCCTGTGAGGTGTTGGCAGAAGCTTCGGCAGCGCTGTGTTGTTCCTCCTCCAGAACGTGAGGAAGCCAAGTCGAACGTGGAGAAATGTGTGGATGTCCCCGAAACGTCCGTGACCAGCAGGTGGTTTATAATCAAATGTGGCCATGGCGAATCCTGCATAAATGGAGGTTTTAAATGGTTTTAATGGGAACATCATCCATAAATGGGGGATTTCGAATTTCTATGCTCGATTAATTACTGGAGGGTATTGTTTGTTGTGTCTTTTTACTGGCAGCAGCTATTGTGGCCTCATCATTTAGGTCCCAAGCCAATGGTTTCTCCCCTGGAGATATCATGTCCATTTTCTATTGTGAGTTGTCATGGTTTATCACTTTTGTAGGGACACCATGGAAGAAGCCTCCCTGATTCATCAACTCCAAGTTCCACTCCACCCTCAAGACACCCACCAGTGAACTGTTTTTGGATCATGTTTTTTTGGATTTAAAGATAGTAACTACTAGATAGTAACATATAGTAACTATGAATAACCATCAATTATAGTTACACATATTATACACCCTATATGACAATTTGATCTGGAGACGATGAAAAATACAGTTTCAAGCCCCTAATTTGACATCGCATTCTACTGTATGCGATGTCCCATACATCTACCATACAAAATCATGAAAATCATCAACAATCCATGGGTCTGTCATGAAAGCCTACCACAAAATCTCAGAGTTTGATTGTCATGTTATTTCCCCACTGATATTGCCATAGCTCGGGCTTCCCGATATTATACTATATTATACTAACAAGACCAACTTCATAGTTTGCATGTCCCCCCCTTATAGATGATTTGTCCATTAAACATCATTAAACTGCCCAGTGATCGGTGATCTCTCATTGCTCCCAATTTTTTGACCAACAGAATGTTGATCGAAACCATTCTGTTTGGATGGTGAACTGCCAAATGGTTGATGGTGAACTGGATGGTTACCCTCCAGTAAACTAACAGTTCGCTATTGAAAATGGCCCAGTCGAAATAGTTGGTTTACCATGATTTACCCGTTTACCCAGCTATAAAATGGTGATTTTCCATGCTTATGTAAGCACGTTGACCAGGCCGGGGATAGGCACTTTTTCCCATTGCGCTGATTTTTGAGGGGAAAAGGTGGAAGATGTGGAAGCGCCCGAGCCACGACAAAAGGAGTCGGTGGAGTCGGTGGCTCGGAGCCCAGAGTTCCGCGAAAAGTGATGGTTTCCTTAGGACAATGATGGGTCATTAAATGTCCCCATTTTTCACATCACCCAACCATGAATGGTATATGGTCTACTAGATGGCTACTTTTTCAGGTGATGTCCAATATACCCAAAATGGGACAGTTACCAACCCCTGACAATGGTCTAGAAATGCCTGGGTCTTCCACATGTTATTTTTTTTGAACACGGGAGATGAATACCAAAAAAGTATATATACTGGATTCTGGATTATGATATATTATGATCATGGCCGACATCATTGACCCCGAATTCTTACTAACCAGGGATGTTCACCAGCTAGCTATTCATTGTCATTGGTCAGATCCCTATTTTTTGTATTGAAATCCATTAGAAATCATTCAAACTCCCCTTTCAATTTCACTTGATAGCTTGAATCCGAATTTCTGATGGGTAAAGCAGCATGTTCGAGTAAATTCATGTATATCCCCATCTTTGACGGGTAAATTCCTATGTTTGCCGGCGATCCTTCCCTTTTTCTGGCGTAGATCCATGACGATCCACGAGGCAGGGCTTCTCTCAGAGCTACGCTCCAGGCGATGGAATCGATGGTGCTTGACTACGAACATGGTATTTTACCATAGTAATGGACCATAGTAATGGATCATTCAGCTTGGATTACTATTAGATTAGTATTAGTAGTTATGGATCATAGTTATAGTAATGATTATAATTGGTAATGATCTATGGGGCCATAGTTCTTAGATGTTGGTATTGTCAATGGATCCACTATATTAACTATAATAAGAGGAGGAGAACCTGGAATAGGTGAATCAACTCTATTAAGTTATTGTGCATGGCAATGAACCTAGAACAACAGCTGAAACAGAAAATCAGAGTCCCAGAGTATGACATTCTTGATGAATCGTTTAGAGTTGTTTGGAGTCACCCAGAGGTTGTCACATTGTCACTCCCAGCTGTGCGCCGCTTGTGGTTGAAGGTTGAAGTCGCTTCCAGCATTGACATCAGCCGCGCGAGGAGTTTTCAGGTGTGGTAGTGCACCAAATTGTTTAGTCATTTTGATTCTATATAGAAACTATAATACTTGGTGGGTCCCACATAAACAAAAGGCTGCTGTGCAATCAAACCCGGCAGTGAAAACTACCCGGTTTTCTATCGGAAAAGATCAGACAATGATCCATACATGGGGGTCGACTTGTCCATTCTCAGTGTGCTGCTGGGCAATTTGCCGCAAATTCATCGCTGCACTGGGAAAGACTGGTGGAGACTGGGCTGGTTCTGGGATCCCAGGATTCTCCAGACTTAAAAATCCCCGGTGGATTTTTCCCCTGGTGGTTACACTAACTGTTACCATATGTTACCATGATACCCTCTGTGCAGGTCGGTGCAACCGGGCCATCTGCTGCTGATCCTGGGAGGCTTCTGTCGCCTTTTTGGGCGTCGGACGCCCAGGGACCACGAAGACTTTGGCAGGTGTACTGGACCTCTGAGGGGGTCGTGAAAGAGTAAAATTTGGTGACTTTATAAATGAGATATAGCGAATTTTAAGGGATTTTAAGGAATTTTAGGTAACTTTAGGGAATTTTAAGGAATTTGAGGAATTTTAGAGAATTTTAGGGAATTTTAGGGAATTTTAGGGAATGTTAAGGAATTTTAAGGAATTTTAGGGAATCTTAGGTGTTTATCAAGAGACCCAAGCGCTTCGCTGACTGTGTGTCATGCCGGTGGTGCAGAAGACCCAGCTGAAGGGGTGGCGCAGACGGTGGCAAAACCAAAGCCTGGACCGGGACCGCCGCATCGAGAAAGAGCTGCAGAACCTTCGGCAGCTGCAGGCCCTTCGGCGCATCGAAGAAATGCGCTACCTGGAAAGCTGCATCTAAGAACTTCTCCGGGAGCTCGGCGACACCTAGAAGGCGCAAGGGATGTAAAAAAAAATAAAGAATCACCATAGCAGGGGAGTTCTGTGTTACAAGGCACGTTATCATTCATGTTTTGGGCTATGATTTTAGGGAACCTTCGGAAATTTTAAGGAATTTTAACGGAAATTTAAAGAATTTTAAGGATTTTTAAGAATTTTAGGGAATTTTAGGGGATTTTAGGGAATTTTCGGAAAGTTTAGGGAATTTTAGGGAATTTTAAGTGATTTTAGGAAATTTTAGTGGGCAAGGCTCTGGCGCCTCTCCTGAGGCAAGCTCAACTTGCACCCCTAATTAAATTTATTCCCTCACCTGGAATGTAGTCTCTGCGCTGCAGCCACCACATTGTTTGGGTTGGCCAGGCTTGTGTGAGACTCGATGCATGATCATGCCGTGTGCAATCTTCGCAGGACAGAGCCCATGCAAACGGGCTTCTGCAGAAGTTCTTGACCGAGGGCAAGAAGGTCGGGTTGAACTTGTTTCCACTTTTGCAAAGCATGCATACAAACACGCACACACACAAACACACACACTAGACTAGACTAGACTGGACTAACGCACGCAGAACTGCAGAACCGAAAGCGCGTGCTGCTGCCCAGGCCTTCGTCGAGCAAAATGCCCGCACCGCCTGGGGGCTTTCACGTGACCGGGCACGACCCCCAACTGTACAGAAGGCCGGGTTTCTACAACATAGTCATGCATCCTTGCCAAACATTTGGCGTTGCTGCGACCACCATGTTCTTTAAAACCACCCGGTTCAATCTTTTTGCTTGCCAGGTGGTGCGGGACCCGCAGGAGCGAGGAGGTGCGGCGGCTGCAGCGCGACAGGTCGACCTGTTGGCAGCCGATCGCACCTCCCAACACCGCGTCGATGTGAAGTACGTCGAGGTCCTGGAGGCGGGGTGTTTTAGAAAAGTGTCACTCCCACTTCCCATACATGCTGCGTATGCGGACGACAGCTTACTTCCATGCGCTGCCCCTGTGCAGGAAGGCGCCGTCGCCACCCCCATGCACCATCTCCTTCAGACGCACATCGACGCGGAGCCCTGGCGCATCGAACGAGGCACGCCATCACGCAGCGGCGTAATCTCTAACCTGCTATATATGGTACAGTAAAAGTAAAGCGAGCACGTCAAAGAAAAAAACCATCTTCTCGATGATACGCTGCCACAGAGTCGATTGTCAACCCCTTCGTGACTTTCGCTGCGTGCAACCTGTCAGCTAGGTACAAAATCCAGCTACCTCGCTGGTCGGCGCCGGTTTAATGGCGGCTGCACTGCCTATGCCAAGCGTCCGCAAGCGCCCATTTGCGGACCAAGCGGCACGGGCTTTGCAGTCGCCGACCCTTGGAATACTTTTTGAAGGCCAGCCGATGTCATGGAGTTGTCACATCTCAAACATGAAAGGCTTCTTGATTCACCATCACCCTGAAACGTTCATGCAGAGACAATCAAACGGACACATGGCCATGTCACTAGCTTGCTTGAAGCCCCGCTTGCAACCGCGCCAGGCCAACCAGTGCCACATCATCGTCAATGGTGAGTGCTGGGTTGGCAAATTCGCCGTATGGCGGTTTCCCGTGATGCAACCGTCAGACATCCAGGTTTGGGAAGCCTGCCCTCTTCCCGAGCACGCCTGGTTTGTCCCTGACAACTGTTGCATCTGCACGAAAATCGGCTCCGGCTGTGTTTCACTAGGGGGTGGCGATTACGATGGGGACCTTTTGATGTTCACATCCAATCCCATCCTCCTTGAGTTCCTTGATTGCACGCCAAGTGGTGATTTTAGAGAATTTTAGGGAATTTTAAGTGATTTTAGGGAATTTTAATTGATTTTACGGGATTTTAGGGAATTTTCTAGAATTTTAGGAAAGTTTAAGGAATTTAAGGTGATTTTAGGGAATTTTAAGGAATTTTACGAGATTTTAGGGAATTTCAGGGTTTTAAGGAATTTGACAGGCGATTTTATAGAATTTTAACGAATTTCCGAGAATTTTAGGATTTTTTTCCGTTAGGGAATTTTAAGGAATTTTAGAGCATTTTAAAGAATTTGACGGGATTCAAGGAATTTTAAGGGATTTTTGTGAATTTTAAGGAATTTTAGGAAAGTTTAGGGAATTTTAGGTTATTTTAGGAAGTTTTAGGATTTTAGAGAATTTTAGGAAATTTTAGGAAGTTTTAGGATTTTAGAGAATTTTAGGAAATTTTAGGTGATTTTAGGGAATTTTAGGGAATTTTAGGGAATTTTAAGTGAATGATTTTAGGAAATTTTAGGGAATTTTAAGGGAATTTAAGAGATTTTAGGGAATTTTAGTAGTCTGTGATGTCTGTGAGGGAAGAAAGGTGACAAAGAAGTTTCGATATGACGCTTTGCGGCGCATTTGTTGCCACTTAACCCGCTTTCGCCCGCAGTCGTTTGTTCTCAAGCCGTTAGAACGCCATCCGACATCGTAGACACCATGGCGTGAGACAGCGCAGGTCGTGGCAAAGGCGGCAAGGGCAAGAAGGGCGGCCGCAGAAGAAAGACGAGAAGCAGGGCTCCCAGCAGGAACAAGAGTACCTGAAAGCAGTTGACCCGCGCTGGAACCTGAACAAGGCGGCTCTGCGAGGATATGCATCCATGACCGGCTCACCCTTCTATGCCGGGCAAGGCCAAGCTGATTCGGACTTTCTGAGCCTGGGCAGCATCATCGAGAAGCAGCAGCCGTACACGGCGGAGCTCGCAAACCGATTCGGCATCGCTTTGAGCGTAACTCGGAGTACCATCGGCATGGGCAAAGAGACATATGCGGTAGTCATATTTCACTGTTCCCCTCCTGCCCCAGATCAAAGCATCGAGGCACAGTCGAACTGATGTTTGAAGCACAACGACCTTCAAAGCTCCCAGGCGTCAGCGACAAAAGGGCGGCAAGCGACTCAGCACGGCCTTTCATGGCAAGGGGCAAAGCCAAGAACCCCGCGTCGTCCCATGAGAGAGAGCGATAAACACAACATGAGGATCAACTACCTAAACCGTTGCATGCAACAGAGTCGCCGAAAGCATGTTGGAGCCACATTTGCAAATGTGTCATCTTGAAAATCACGGCGTCCATTTCTTTGAACACCGGTTGCTTCTGCTAGCACCTTGCCTTTCAAGCAAACTCACGTGTCACGTTTCCGTTCGCTCAGCTTCGGTCCCTGTGTTCGACGCTCAGAAAAAATGAACATAAGAGCTTCAAAAGCAATACGTTTGTCTCAAATCAAGTTTCAAGAGAGATCAAACCGCTGAGGTCCATTCAAGATGCCCGCTCGCCCCGTGCAACGCTAAGAAGTTGTGGTCAGGACTTTGATGTGCGTTTGCTGTATGCAAGGCGCCTGCCTTTGAAGCGCACTGGACCGAGGTCTTCGTCCTGGAACGTTTTGGCGGCCATTGCGAGGCGAGGGTATGTTGGGCCACCAAGAGAAGACCATCACTGGACCTAGCATCGCCACAGGAGTGCGACCTCGACTTCAATTACGTCAGCGAGCACCCGGGATACCGTGGGGACAACGTGGTGTATGTGTCGGAGCATCAGGCTTACGCCGCTTAGACACCAACAGAACCGGCCGGCTGAAGACCCAGGTTTCCGTTGCGCGCACGCGCGCAACTACACTACCACCTTTGCCCCCGAGGAGCCGTGGCGATTTCAGGTGCAAAAAGCCAAGCTTCAGTACCTTCAGTAGCAGCTCTTTTAATATGTGAAAAACGATAGGGAATTTTCAATGGTTTTTAGATGATTTATAGATGATTTGTAGATGATTTGTAAATGATTTGTAGATGATTTGTAAATGATTTGTAAATTATTTGTAAATGATTTGCAGATTAATTGTAAATGAATTGTAGATGATTTATAAATGATTATAGATGATTTGTAAATGATTTATAGATGATTTGTAGGTGATTTGTAAATGGTTTGTAGATGATTTGTAAATGAATTGTAGATGATTTGCAATGATTTGAAGGTGATTTATCCTGATTTAATCAACCACAACGCGGATTTTGGCATTTAAAACAGTTTGATTTAGTTTGATTTGACCACCAAACATTGCCAATGTATTGAAGGGAACACAAATACGGGAGACCCTGCCTCAGATAGAGGCGTACCTTGCACACATATTGATATCGTACTGCAAATCGGTATTGATGATTGACGACTGGTGCCCACAAACCATTTCAAACTGGCATGTTTCATGGGATATTACTCAGAACAGGAATCCAATTTACATCAACTTACAAGGTCATCTTTATTATCCTTATTCGTAGGCTAAGATCCTCATTTTGGGGCTGATTTCATAAATTTTGGTTCATCAATATTTGGTGAATATCCGAGTGTTGTTGTTTTGTTTCCTAACATGTACTAAATGTTTGTCAATGGTGAATCCTTAGCACCACTCCTTTCTGCCTTCTGTTGCCTAGGCCTAAGCCTTGTTTTGAGATGTTTTGCAGGAACGCTTAAAATCCCAATACTTGTTGACTATATATATATATAGTGTACTTATCCTATATATATATTTATACAGTTACTATTATATATAGTTAAAAATGTTTCTTGGTTGATATCCCCACTCTTCACCTTTTTCTGTCAGTGTCTCTACATTCCCATTTCATCTTTTCAATATCATGTTTTTCATTCCTGGACACACTTTAGCAAATCTTGGAACATCAAGTCAGCTGGTTGTGTCCATTCCAACAAGTCAGCTGGTTGTGAGTCACAGTTCAGTGGATTGATGAATTCACCAACAGAAAACAAGTAGGCACAACCAAAAATAAGAAATTCAACCACAAGAATAGGTGATTCAACCAACATATTGACATGAATGATTCAACCACAAGACATTGATGATTTTTTTTCTAGTTTACTCGCCAAAACTGGTGACTTGCCGGTTCCACACTAACTGGGGTTCCCAGCCCCAAATAGGATTGGCTCAAGGGACAAGTTTAGCCAATACTTGGGTGCGCACAACTGGGGTTCCAACCATGGTCAGCACCATGAAAAAAAACCAACCAGTTGGAAGCCTCATAGGTTGGAATATAGCTGCGCAACTGCGGCTAGATGCCCACAATTTTGATTACTGTTCTTGAGATGCTGTACTAGAACTACACCTCAACAGGGTGCTTCAAAAAGAAATCGCAATCTGCACATGTCACGTCATGAGGACGCTCCAATCTTGCTGGATGTTATCTGAAAATAGGCCACTCCAAGATCCACGGGTTTATAACACAATTCCCTCTATTCAATACACCCACATACTAGTATCATCAAATAATGTGTATATTGTATATGAATATATCCCATCATTCCATCATTAACATTTTCGTTAAATACCCATCACCCCCCCAATATAATATATAGAACCCCTAGCAATGGGACAATGTAAAATGATCCTCAAATGGTTGGTTAATGGGATGGTTATTGGGTTTACCACATTCTGGGATTTGATGATCAAATATGGTGGTTTCTATGGAATATGTCATGGGATGTATATGTATATGTCATGGTATGTATATGTATATTATACATGTGTATATGTATATATATGCTGTATATAAAATTTATATTATATATACATACATAAACACGATATTCCCATTAAATATCCATCATTATATTCCCATTGAATACATTTGAATACTATGAATGTTGAAGATTCATGATGGGATATATACATATATATATATATATATACATACATAGATAGTATTGCATATATTTTCATCATATTCCCAGTAGATACCCATGATATTCCCATTTTCTGTACCCATAAGGAGCCTCCCCCAGGTGCTGCAGACAACGCCGACCTGGCCGTCCAGCGTTGCCTGAAGGCGGCACAGGCCACCTTGGAGGTGGGGACAACACCCCCGGTGTTTCCGTGGCGATGGAACATGGAACATTGAGTTTGTTGATTTACCTATTGAACATATTTGAAAATGGTGATTTTCCACTGGTTTCATTGGGAGAGGAAATGGTCCAATTTCGCATTCCATCTACTGAGGAGTTTCCACATACCCTCTGGTAATTTAACATAGCTATTGAAAATAGCCATGATTAATGGGTAAATCCACTATTTCTATGGCCATTTTCAATAGCTACGTTAAATTACCAGAGGGTACCTATTGAACATATTTGATATTTGTGATTTTCCAAGATGTTCCATAGTTATGTGTTGATTTACCTAGCTTTTAAGTGGTGATTTTACATAAGTATGGTTGATTTACCTCATTTTACCTCCATAAAGTGGTGATATCCTGTCCATAGTTATTTTAGTTTACCAGCGGCAATCATGATTTAAGCCATGAAAATGGGAACTTAACTACAACTGTGGACATTTTGGAATTCAAATTGGGACTTGACTCTGACAATTTGTGATTCAAACGTTTTTTGGAACATGCTGGCGGACCAAAATGGCGATGACCGAATGGGCTGCAGGGCCCAACTGGCACCACGGCCATTTGCATCATCATCTTTCCGATCTTTGGATTGTCGGGACGCCTAAGAGAAAGCGACAAGTAAGGGGCGACAAAAGGGATTGTTGGTTGAAGTATGACTACGGCTGATGTTAATTATTGATTGTTATTAGATAATATTATGTATATATAATATATATGTTTATCATTTTCTGTACGAAGATTATAAAGTTTAGGTTATGGTTAAGTTTTACATGATTTTACATGATCCTGATGTCCTGTGCTGCCATGAGTCAGATCCCCATCAGAATTAGACCCTTCCTCGTGAAAAATAGCCTTTCGACAAAGGGGAACACCGGGAACACCCCAATTTCAGACACAGCCAAATGAATGGAGGTTAAAATGGGTGTACCCCAAATCATCCAAGTCATGAGAAACCATGGCTCAGTATTCAACACAGCCATGGTGACTTGGGAATATATGAAATACCCCATGTTAGGAACCCAACATATGTTGTGGTGTTTCAATGTATTTCATATTCCCAGTCGCCATGGTTGTTAGGATTCCCAACTATAGTCACTATCAAAGTGGCCTTTTCCCAGTGAAAAAAGTGGGAGATCCTCATGCCTTGCCGCGAGCTCCTGAGGCTGGGCCAAAGGCTGCGAAGTTGGCAGTGCCTCGACCGAAATCCGAGCTTCGATGGGTTTTTGGGGGGAACATCTGCGGGAAATCCATGGTTTTTCCATGATTTTCCCGTGAAATATAGTATAATACCCATAGGATCCATGTATGGTATATATGCTAACATTTGGGGTATAGTATATTGATGGTAAATGTTACCATACCTAGAGACTCGAGCGGCATCAAAATTTTGATGCTGGTCTAGCAAAACAGTGTTTCATCTGATTGCCGCTGAAATTTCTGGCATGCGCCGTTCTTTGGGAAACAAATATGGTTTTAGATTTTGGTGTTGGAATGCGCCGTTTTTGCCAATGATTGCACCATTTTTGCCCGTGATTGCGCCGTCCTTGCCCGTGCAGAATTTCCATTGCGCCGTTTTTGTGGAATTGCGCCGTGTTTTCTACATTGCGCCATTCTTGTGGACTTGCGCCTGATTTTTTTGTAGGTTGGGAATGCGCCCGAAATTTTGGATACATGAGTCTCTAGGTATATAGCATACATGGATCCTATGGGATATAGTGATGAAGATTGATGAAGATAGATGAAGATTGATGAAAATCATGGGGTTTCCCCGGTTCTACTTTTCCCCAAGTTGGGCCGGAAGCAACCAAAAAAAGATCCATCTCGGCCTCTCGGCCCTGGAAGCGCGGCAAGGCAACGGTTGGCCAAGTGGCAAGCCGCGAAGGCTGCAGAAAAGGCGCGAAAATGTGGGGCCAAGGGGTGAAAAAACCGATGACTTTGGTCACTCTCTGCATGATCTGCATGACCCATCCCAGTTTTTTTGAGACTTATTAGGGGGTGACTTGATATGGTTGTCCAATTTTGAGCCATACACATGTGGGGCCGGGGTCGCTTTCGACAGTAAGATGTGGGATGTTCGAATTCGGTTCCCTCTTAGTGGTGATACATCGCCGAGACATCACCATCGCCTTTGGAACATCTCATGATTTTGCTGATGCTGGACATGATTCCGCCCAAAACTTTTGGAAACTATTGAATCCCGTAAGAGTCGTAAGAGTAAGTACCCTCTAAAACCCCTGGTTGTGTATTGGATCTATTCTGGGGATCTCATATGGGGGGTATTTGATCCGCACATCTCCTGGATTGATGTCTAGGAACATCTTCAACTTCAGAGACCTCTAGTAACTACAGCGATATCTAAAATATATATGGAGTCACATAGAAACCAATGATTTTCATCCTTTCTTCCATGTGTCACGGAAGATCTGAAACCATTTAGTAAATACATCCTAGCTTCGTTATGTTTGCTGGTGAAACGTGGCACAGAACTTCCCCGAATTTTCCAGGTGCATTTCTCGGACATGGTGATTCCTGGTTTCGATGTTCAGACCTGCAGTAACTCAGCTGGCCGGTGGTGGAAACCACTAAATCAACCCGGGGGATCCCGGGAGCGGCGTAGATTGGCGACGTGTCTGCAGTGACCAAACCCCTTGATAAGGTACGTGTCAAAGGGTGCTAGACTACCTGGTTCGTGTACCCGCTTATTGAATAAGTCTTGGCTTTACATCCATACTTTCTGGAAGATCTCCCTTCAGCTAAGCCAGTCACGTGAAATGAAATGATGGGTGATATCAGCTGGTTGCATGGGGATTGTAGAGTAACTCCACCAAGATGCACCAAGTATATAGTTGGTTCGGCGATGACATAAGCTTCGGCGCTGCTCATTCGGAAGCAACGGCATATTTGAGGTTTGGTGAAGGCCTGTCGGAAGATTAGGCCTTTAGTAACCATATAAACAGAACTGGCTGGGACATCTCGATTTAGAAAGGGAAAGCCATCTCTAGATTGATAATGGGAGGATTTTCGATTGTGATGTTTGCTTATTGTATTGCACTTTGCGGTCAAACTTAACTAAACGCAAGTCCTTGAGTGTTTGATTGGTCAAGAGAACAAGCTGTGAGAAGTACAGGCTCAGCTCTTTGAAACTTCTTGACAGTTTGAAACTTCCAACCAACGTCCTGGTGCTTGTTGTTCTTTTTCCAAACAAAATACAGTAGGGTGTTTTTACATGTTTTTACTGTATAATAATCTTGCAAATGTTTTGCATGATTTGGATCTCCTTGCTGATTTCCACATTACAACAACCTCAGTAGCTGAGAAGGCCATTTTTGATGCCCTGCACGGGGAGAGCTATAGTAAGCCCAGAAAAGATAGACTAGACATTTACCAATGTGGGGGTTCTTCAAGTGGGGGATCCCCAAGTCACCATGGGTTCAATACTAAAATGCTCCAATCTGGATGATTTGATGGCCATGCCGCTGAGGCTCGCATCAATCTGTCCCGATGCTACTCTCTTCAGGCAGACTTGGCTGGGCAGAAAAAGGTCATGAACTGATAAATGGATGTGCATGGATCATGTACTCCATATAAATATATGATAATGATTGATAATATATGTATATATATATATACAATTTATATACATATTTATTACATATACATATGACATATGTTAGGCTATATTATCTCCAAATTGTTTGCATCAGTCAGTCTATTGCATTCATGCAGATATATGCAGACCATGTATGCACATGCGCAGGGATGATGCCTCAAACTCCCACACCGCAGTACCAGGCGGCAGCCTCGGGGGAAGAACCTCACGTTGTCCATTTTCGACATTGTTCCATTATGGATATGGTCATTCTGAGGTTCCAGTGGATTTCTGGGAGGGTTAGGATATATTCGGCTGGAATTCGGACTTCAATGGGTCCAACTCTTGGAAATGCGGTGATTCGTACGCTTCGGCTGTTCCAATGGTGTTCCAATGCAGGAAGAGCGAAAGCCGCACGGTCCAGGCGCAGATCCTGGGATGCCCCTACCCAAATAGTGACGCCTCCGAATTTGTGGAATAAAATCCAACTTTTCGATGGTCAAAATCCACATTGTTGGTGGTTGGATCCTAATTTTTTAATATGTTTGATAGTTAAGATATGTTGGGTTGCCTTAAGATCATGTTTAAAATCCTTTTTTTTGATGCTTAAGTTGTCTTAAGTTGTGTTCAGTCCCATTTCTTCATGAGTTCATCGCTGCTTCCAGGCCGCGCCGCCCGGCACGTCGTGCACGGCGCGGGCGCCCCGCCAGCGCGGCGGGGAACGATGCGCTCCGGGGGACGGGTGATGACACCACCCAGGTGCGGTGCAGCTTGGGGTTTACCCTACTTGGATGGTCCATGGAGTTAGTTAACTCATGTTAAGTACTTAGTAAATGGATGTAAATGGATTACAATTGAGATATATATGGATATATAATGATATAATGATATATATATATACATCTATATAGTGGTTTATAAGCCAGTTGCTAGGCAGTAAGTGAAACCCATGGCCCATCTGAGTAGGGTAAACCTGCAAGAAGATGTTTTATTAATCCGTGGGAAACAATAGGAAAATTATCTTCACATGGTGGATTTTCCACATCGAACTGTTTGTTTACAGAAGGGTAGAATATGATAGAATGGTGAATGAACCAGTAGATATATGGGATTTTGCGAAGAAACTGGTGGTATAATGCGGATTTGGATTTAATCTTTGGTTTCTATCCATGTTCAGTATACCCCAAAGATGTAAGATCTTACCAAACATGGATCCAGTTTATGTATGGGGACAATTTAATGGCTGTCAGGTTGGCGATGAAACTGACATTATCATCATGCAGCCAGATGGATGGGTGAAAATTGGAACATGCATGGTATTTTTTCGGTTCATTAGTATTCAATCAGCTTGGGTTCGTCCAGAGGTTGTGATTTACCCACGGTTTACTCATGGTTTGTGTTTGGACAGAAAATTCAATACACCCAAAACTGGCACTTCAAATGGGGAGATTGAAGACAACCGCAGCTTGGTGATTGTTCGCTTTGATGGATTGATTTGTAGACTAGTAGACTGTTTGTGATTGACCTGTAAAAAATGGTGATTGTTGATAGTTATGTGAGTTTGCTGATTTCTGGCTTGGTAGAAGATGCTATGGGGGACATGTTCAAACACCAGTGGTTTGGTGCTTCTTGCAGAGATCATATACCTCGCTTGGATGACGTTTCTGGAACGTCTCACCTATTTGTATTTTTAATGTCACTTGGCTGCAAAACCACCATTTCCGATAGGTCAATCTACATGTTTTTCTCTGGAGCACCACAAAGTTGCAAACATGGGCATCGACTTTCAAGAACCGAGGATATTGACCAACAAAAGCGAGGATAGAGATAGAAACAATCAAAAAGTAACCAATCCACCAAAAAGGCAGCAAAATCATCAAGCTGCCAACACAAATGAGGAAACAACATACATTAATCATGTTGGGCCATCATATTCTGCATAAGAAAACATACGGTATTACTGACTATACATAATATCAGTGCGTACACACATCATAAACAAGTCATGTTGTATAGAAGTGCGCTGCTGCTGTCATTTGAGATGCATCTCAACACACATTGGAGAATTTCATGAATTTCATATGATTATGATTAAGACATTATAGAATTTCATATGATTAAGACATTAATTATACAAGAAGCTCCAGTTTTGCTGATTAAGGCCACCATTTCAAAGGATTTTTCCACCTCCAAAAGCACCATGACCAGGCCAAGAAGGTTGCAGTTGGATCAGCTTGGAGAGGTGCGATGCCATGTTTTTTTTTTTGCGCAAAAAAAAAACTGGGGCGATTTCATCAACTAACTGAGATTCAATCGGAAGTTGGTTCTCTAGTTTATCTCAATGGATTGGTTTAAGGGAAAATCTACAGGAAACCATGGATTTTCCCATTAAATATGGGGCTTTCCTGTAAAATTTCCCTTAAACCAATCCATTGTTTATTGGGGACTGGTGTTTTTTGCAGTAGCCGCTAGTAGTTTCAGACACTGGTGTTCTTTTTTCTACCTGAAAAACCGTTGTGTTTTTTTTGCAACGGTGCTGTATTTTGCAACAGTTTCTCGGTGTTGTTTTCTGCAACGGTCCGTTGTGTTTTTTGCAACGGTTCCCAGGTGCTTGTTGCAACAGCCACTACTGCTAGGAAAGATGATGACAGATTTGATCCAGAGCAGACCCCTCTATATAATATCTGGTTGGTGGTTTGGAACATTTTTTATTTTCCATGATATATGGGATAATCCTTCCCAACTGACATTTTTTTTTTCAGAGGGGTAGGTCAACCACCAACCAGATTATAAAATATTATAAATGTGTTATAATATATGTTCATCTATTTCCCAATTTTGGGAGATTTTTTTTTGCTTGATACACCGAATGCCGGGATTTCTTGCAGAATTTTTCCACAGATGGCTCCCATGGTTCCGTTGTGATCAGGGCTCACCATGAAGAAAAATGGGAAAAAGTCATCCAACTATGGAATGATGGTTAGTAGATGTTAGTAGGAGTAAGGATTCACTAAAATGACATTATTTGAGCTTTGTGAACTATTATCTGGAAAGAAATATGAATTATATATATATATACCAAAATGCTAGGAATGGCGGAAGTTGAATGACCAGGTCCAATACGTCTAGTGTTTTGACCGTAGTATATGTGTCTCTTTGTCAGGATAGAACGGATGGAAAACCACCGGCTAGGGTATTACTGTAGACGATATTTCTTCATCATTGCTGGAAATACACTATACCAAAAGTGAACTGCCGTGCATGTGATGAGACAGCCGTCTCCTAGAATAACACCTAGATTCAAATTGCGTCACGGTGAACATCCCAATTCTGGCAATATTGGGATCCTGCAGATACCTTGGATGTTCGCCAGGGAACCAGACTCTTGCTGTTGTCTCAAAAATTTGGAACCCAAATTCAATGGTTGATCATTATTTTCACCATGATTTGATGGCCTTAAATTTCGGAGCTCTAATTTCCATTGATTTCCCCGTTTCGAGGCAAAACAAATCTGATGGCTAAGAAGCATCATGTTTGATTGTAAAAACTGTTTTTTGGATGATCACATAGTACAGTATGTTTAGCTGTTGCCAGCATTCGCTAAATGGTTAGTAAGTGGGAGTATACCCGTATAAGATGCTGCCAGCCACTTACCAACGACTTCAAGATGATTCAGCAAAGTAGTCCCATAAATCCATCTAATTCCCTTCATTTTTCCTGTTTTACTGGGGAAACCCCATTAAATGTCCAACATTTTTTGGGTGCTCTCCAAACCAAGTTGTTTCCACATCCTGTGTTTTTTGATGGTTCAGGCCCCACATCTCCTTTTTCCACCCATTTTTTTACGCTGCTCAGGATGAAGATGGCGAGTTTTCGACGGATGGTCATGAGGCGTGGTGCTTAAGGGTGGTCAATGGTGCTTAATGGTGATCATAAGCGTATATACTAGTTATAATGATGGTTACCCTCCGGTAATCAAATGTGGCTAGCTGGTAAATCCCCGAACTAAATGGAGGTTTGTAGCTATATAGCTGAGAAAATCATGGAAGTCAATGGGGGCCATGTTTGATTGCCGGAGGGCAACTGCCAGTGATTTACTGGTTGGTGGTTTGGAAAGTTTGGAACCATGGAATTTTATGACTTTCCATATATTGGGAATGTCATCATCCCAACTGACGAACACCATCATTTTTCAGAGGGGTTCAAGGGGTTCAAACCACCAACCAGTTAGGACAGTTAGGATTGGATTTACTTTTCATTTCTTTTCGGGGTAGTGAGCTGTACATGCAAATCACTGTGAATCACCCTAACACATTCTGACACCATATTTTTGGGAATGAATATTCAGTCCATTTACCAACTATTGAGTTCTATGCATTAGGCTTTTACCAGCTCAAAAATGGTTTGCCCATGAACCACAAAATCACACAGTTTTCATTTTGAGGACATTCATGCGTCCATGTTGGGAGGGAAAACAAACCATCAGGCCATACGTACCCAAAATTTGTCCATATGTTCCTTGGTCGAATCCTCAATATTGTCATTGTTGGTTGGTCATCAGGTTTAAATCCCCCTCTTCGGATCATTTGTCTGACAAAAAATCACTTTGGAACACAACCCGTGACTCAGATAGATTCAACTAATCAATGTCACGTATGTCAGTATGTCCCACTCAAATCAGCCTTTACCCTCTGGTAAACTGACATCAACTATGGGAAACCATGGAAAATCACCATTTTTCATGGGTAAATCTGGGTAAATCACCTATTTCTATGGCAGTTTTCGCAACCCCCGGCAGCCTCCTTGGCTCCCCGGTGCCACGGTGCCACGCGCCGTGCGGCGCCATGGGGCGAGATCTCGGGCGAGGTGTCCGAGCTGTGTCCCACAGCTCGGCCACGTCGGCATCGGCCTCGTTGCTTGGTGA